AGGGGGTACAGAGAAAGTTCACCAAGATGTTGCCTGGGATGGAGCAATTGAGTTATAAGATTAAGCTAGATAGGCTTGGATTGTTTTATTTAGAGCAGAGAAGACTGAGGGGGGACATGATTAAGGTGCATCAGATTATGAGGAGTATGGACAGGGAGAACAGAGAGCAGCTGTTCCCCTTGGTTGAGTGGTCAATCACGAGGGGGCATCATTTTAGGCTAAGGGGCAGGAGATTCAGAGGGGATTTTGGTAAAAAGCTTTTTCACTCAGTGAGTAGAGAGAATCTGGAATGCATTGCCTGGGAAGCTAGTGGAGGCTGGAAACCTTATAACATTTAAAAAATATTTGGACGAGCACTTGAAATATCATAACAATCAAGGATGTGGAACAAGTGCATGAAATTAGGATTAGCACACATTCAGTGGTAGTTATTGTTTTGAGGAACTTATCAACCATGATTAAACCGTGGAGCAGACTCGATGAGCCGAATGGCCTAATTTCTGCTCCCATGTCTTATGGTCTTACGCATCCTCAATGGGCGGAAGGGACTTTTCTGTGCTGCATGAACTTATGATGCTACAACTATGACTCAATGAAAGGTGGTGACTGGTGGAGTTCCGCAGGGGTCAGTGTTGGGACCACAACTATTCACATTATACATTAACAATCTGGACAAAGGAACTGAGGGCATTGTTGCTAAGTTTGCAGATGACATGAAGATAGTTGGAGAGACAGGTAGTGTTGAGGAAATGGGGAGGAGGCAGAAGGACGTGGATAGGCTGGGACAGTGGGAAAACAAGTGGCAGGTAGAATGGAAATGACAGATACAATGTGGGAAAGTGTAAGGTTATGCACTCTTCGGTAGGAAGAGTGGAGGCTTAGACTATTTTCTAAATGAGTAAAAGCTTCAGAAATTTGGAGCACAAAAGGAATCCTAGTTCAGGATTCTGTTAAGGTTGACATGCAGGTTCAGTTGGCAGTTAGGAAGGAAAATGAAATGTTACCATGCATTTCAAGACGGCTAGAGTGTGTGAGCAGAGATGTTTTGCTGAAGCAGCATAAGGCTCTGATCAGTCTGCATTTGGTATTTTGTAAGCAGTTTTTGGCCCTATATCTAAGGAAGGATGTGTTGGCGTTAGAAGGTATCTGGAGGAGGTTTATAAGAATGAAGGGCTTGTTATATGCAGAGTAGTTGAGGATTTTGGGCCCGTACTCAGCAGAGTTCAGAAGGTTAAGGGGAATATAATTGAAACTTACAGAATATTGAGAGACCTGGATAGAGTGGGCGTGCAGAAGATGCTTCCAGTAGTAGGAGGGACAAGATTCCAAGGACACAGCCTCAGAGTGAAGGGTGACCCTTTAGAACTGAGATGAAGAGGAATTTCTTCAGTTAGAGAGTGGTGAATCTGTGGAACTCATTGCCACAGAGGGTTGTGGAGGCCAAGTCATTTGGTGCATTTAAGACAGAGATATAGAGGTTTTTGATTAGTAAGAGGATCAAATGTTTGGGGAGAAGGCAGGAGAATGGAGTTCAGAAACATATCAGCCGTGATCAAATGCAGAGCAGACTTGATGCGTCAAATGGCCTAATTCTCCTTCGAGATCTTATAGTTATAACTTCTCTACCCTATGAACTGCTTGATTAGATTCTAGTCTGTAACTCGCTCCCGGGTGTCTGTTAATTTATACAAAAAACTAGCCCAAACCCTACAGTTAGACTCGTCAATAACTCACTTCTGGTTATCTGTTATTCTAGATATAAATCCCATTAACCCCTCAGTTAGATTCCAGTCTGTAACACACTCTGAGGTATCATTAATTCTACATATAAACTCCCCAAACCCATTGAGTTGATTCCGGTCTGTAACTCCCTCCTGGGTAAATTTTACTTGATTAATTTATTAAGGGGATGTCGATGTTGCTGGCTAGGCTAGCATTTATTACCCATCCCTAATTACCCAGAGGACAGTTAAGTGTCAACCACATTACTGTGGGTCTGGAGTCACATGTAGGCCAGACTAGACTATTACTTTGGGAATAGTGATCACAATTCCGTAAGTTTTAGCATACTGATGGACAAACACGAGAGTGGTCCTAAAGGAAGAGTGCTGAATTGGGGGAAGGCCAACTATGGCAAAATTCAGCAGGAGCTGGGGATTGTGGATTGGGAGCAGCTGTTTGAGGGTAAATCCACATTTGATATGTGGGAGGCTTTCAAAGAGAGGTTGATTAGAGTGCAGGACAGACATGTCCCTGTGAAAATGAGGGATAGAAAGTGCAAGAGTAGGGAACCATGGATGACAGGTGAAATTGTGAGACTAGCAAAGAGGAAAAAGGAAGCATACATAAGGTCTAGGCGACTGAAAACAGACGAAGCTTTGGAAGAATATCGGGAAAGTAGGACCAATCTGAAACGAGGAATTAAAAGGGCTAAAAGGGGTCATGAAATATCTTTAGCAAACAGGGTTAAGGAAAATCCCAAAGCCTTTTATTTGTACATAAGGAGCAAGAGGGTAACGAGAGAAAGGGTTGGCCCACTCAAGGACAAAGGAGGGAAGTTATGCGAGGAGTCAGAGATAATGAGTGAGATTCTTAATGATTACTTTGTGTCCGTATTCACTGAGGAGAGGGACATGACGGATGTTGAGGTTAGGGATAGATGTTTGATTACTCTAGGCCAAGTCAGCATAAGGAGGGGGGAAGTGTTGGGTATTCTAAAAGGAATTAGGGTGGACAAGTCCCCAGGTCCGGATGGGATCTATCCCAGGTTTCTGAGGGAAGCGAGAGAGGAAATAGCTGGGGCCTTAACAGATATCTTTGCAGCATCCTTGAGCACAGGTGAGGTCCCGGAGGACTGGAGAATTGCTAATGTTGTCCCCTTGTTTAAGAAGGGTAGCAAGGATAATCCAGGTAATTATAGACCGGTGAGCCTGACGTCAGTGGTGGGGAAGCTGCTGGAGAAGATACTGAGGGATAGGATCTATTTACATTTGGAAGAAAATGGGCTTATTAGTGATAGGCAGTATGGTTTTGTGCAGGGAAGGTCATGTCTTACCAACTTGATAGAATTCTTTGAGGAAGTGACAAAGTTGATAGATGGGGGAAAGGGCTGTAGATGTCATATACATGGACTTCAGTAAGGCGTTTGATAAGGTTCCCCATGGTAGGCTGATGGAGAAAGTGAAGTTGCATGGGGTCCAGGGTGTACTAGCTAGATGGATAGAGAACTGGCTGGGCAACAGGAGACAGAGAGTAGTAGTGGAAGGGAGTTTCTCAAAATGGAGAACTGTGACCAGTGGTGTTCCACAGGGATCCGTGTTGGGACCACTGTTGTTTGTGATATACATAAATGATCTGGAGGAAGGTATAGATGGTCTGATTAGCAAGTTTGCAGATGACACTAAGATTGGTGGAGTAGCAGATAGTGAAGGGGACTGTCGGAGAATGCAGAAGAATATCGATAGATTGAAGAGTTGGGTGGAGAAGTGGCAGATGGAGTTCAATCCAGGCAAATGCGAGGTGATGCATTTTGGAAGATCCAGTTCAAGAGTGAACTATGCGGTAAATGGAAAAGCCCTGGGGAAAATTGATGCACAGAGAGATCTGGGTGTTCAGGTCCATTGTACCCTGAAGGTGGCAACGCAGGTCGATAGAGTGGTCAAGAAGGCATACGGCATGTTTTCATTCATCGGATGGGTTATTGAGTACAAGAGTTGGCAGGTCATGTTACAGTTGTATAGGACTTTGGTTCGACCACATTTGGAATACTGCGTACAGTTCTGGTCACCACATTACCAAAAGGATGTGGATGCTTTGGAGAGGGTGCAGAGGAGGTTCACCAGGATGTTGCCTGGTATGGAGGGCGCTAGCTATGAAGAGAGGTTGAATAAATTAGGATTATTTACATTAGGAAGTCAGAGGTTGAGGGGGGACCTGATTGAGGTCTACAAAATCATGAGAAGTATAGACAGGGTGGATAGCAAGAAGCTTTTTCCCAGAATCGGGGATTCAATTACTAGGAGTCACAATTTCAAGGTGAGAGGGGAAAAGTTTAAGGGAGATATGTGTGGAAAGTTCTTTACGCAGAGGGTGGTGGGTGCCTGGAATGCGTTGCCAGCGGAGGTGGGAGAGGCGGGCACGATAACATCATTTAAGATGTATCTAGACAGATACATGAATGGGCAGGGAGCAGAGGGATACAGATCCTTGGAAAATAGGTGACAGGTTTAGATAGAGGATTTGGATTGGTGCAGGCTTGGAGGGCCGAAGGGCCTGTTCCTGTGCTGTAATTTTCTTTGTTCTTTGTTCTTTGTAAGGATGGCAGTTTCCCCTCTGTAAAGGACATTAGTGAGTCAGATGGGTTTTTCCTGACAATCAGCAATGGTTTCATGGTCATGGCTGGACTCTTAATTCCAGATTTTTTTATTGAGTTCAAATTCCACCATCTGCCTTGGTGGGATTCAAAACTGTGTCCCAAGAACATTACCTGGGTCTCTGGATTAATAGTCCAGCAATAGTGCCACTCGGCCATCACCTCCCCTATTCTATATGTAGCTCCCAAACCCCTTGAATAGATTCCAGTTTGTAACTCAGTCCAGCTTTTCTATTCTATAAATAATATTTTAATCTCCTCTCTTTGATTGGCAATGTACCTTAGCCTGTCCTCATTTATTCCAGCCCAGCTATCATGATACAAGCAGTGCCCAGAGTGTGAATAGGTTCCATTCCTGAGTGCATTTGCAAATCAATTTGTACGCAAGTCAGAACACAATGCAGGACAATGCAAAGCAGGAGTTCATATGTACAGGAAATGTTCATATGTTGGATATTTAAAATGATACTCCTGTTTGGGATCATGTTTGTAAGTATGAGAATATGAGCCTTTGTAAGTCGGATGTTCATATATTGGGGACCCCTGCACTTTACTGCTGTGCCTGTTGTGTTTCTGCCGCTGTTCATCATTCTGATCAATCATTCCATGTTATTTGCTCAACTTTTAGTTCAAAACCAACTATGGAGTGAGAAAGGTAAAGCCAATCATTGCACAGAATGGAAGTGTCAGCTCAGCTTCAGTGGTGAGCAACTTTTCACAGGCTAAGAATCTGCTGCTGGAGGTAACAGAAGAGGTGATTCCAATCTCAGGCTCTGTGAATGCAGTCAATGCCCTGGGGCTCGTCGTTTTCTCCATGAGTTTTGGTCTTGTGATTGGAAACATGAAAGAAGATGGAGTGATCCTCCGTGATTTCTTTGACTGTCTGAATGAAGCCATTATGCAATTGGTGTCCGTTATCATGTGGTATGGTGTTTTAAGTACACTGTAAATAGCTTTGGCTGGAGTTTGGTTCCATTTGTGTATGTGCATAGATCCATGCATATGCATGGATTTCTGTGCATACTTATCTTTGTATAAATGTGCTTGTATGTTTACCTGTCTGCGTATTTCTGCCTACGTATGTAGCCCCATGTATGGATGTAGCACACTACCTGTCTGTGTGTACTCTTACCTGTCTGTGCTTACCTGACTCTATGTACCTCTACCTGTCTGGGTGTACCTCTACCTGTCTGTGTGTACCTGTCTATTAAAGTGTTCCCATCTGTGTTTAAATCTCCCATTTAATATTAAATGCTTTGTATATCCTAATATCTCTTTCATTATTAGGCCTCTGCAGCTTGTATTTTCTACGTGTGCTGTTATGTTTGCATTTTGGCTGCTGATCTACACCCATCACTCACATTTCCATTTCTTCTTTTAACTGTCCTAGACCTCATGCCTGTATTTTCATCCTCCCAACTCTACCATCACCAATATTGTAGCCCAAGCCTTGGTTACTCCTTAGTCTTCCTGCTCTCATGTGGCTGTTCCAGGCTGGATTCATGCTTAAAGAAGCTTTTCTCTTACAGTCTTCCTTTCTGTCTCTCTTGAAATCTTCCAAAGGGTTATCGATGCACTCGGCACTGGCTGATATAAACGTTTCAGGTATTACCCTTCTTCAGGACTGGATGTGGGGATAGGAGGAGTTGCAGATAAAGAGAGGCGGGGGGGGAGATAAGGGAAAGGTGGTGATAGGTGGACACTTCCCATCAACCAACCAGGTCGTACCCACTACCATTTTGCTACCACACCCCCTCTCTTTATCTGCAACTCACCCTATCCCGACATCCAGTCCTGCAGAAGGGTAATACCCAAAACGTTGACTGCTCCTTTCCTCCATATAATGCCTGGCTTTCTGTGTTCTTCCAGCCTCCTGTTTGTCTGCACTACGGAATATTCTTGCCAATTTCATTTCTATACAAATAAAAGCAAAATACTACAAATTCTGGAAATCTGAAATGAAAATATAAAGTGCTGGAGAAACTCGGCAGGTTTCTCAGAATTTATGGAGAGAGAAATAGAAATGACCATAAGATAAGGGAGCAGAATTAGGCCATTCAACCCATGGAATCTGCTCTGCCATTCCAACATCAATCCCCATCACCCTGGCAGCGTGAACCAGGTATCTACCATCCTCTGTGTAAAAACCTTGCCTTGCACATCTTTTTTAAACTTTCCCCTCTCACCTTAAACCAATGCCCCCTAGTATTTGCCATTTCCACCGTGGGAAAAAGACTTTGACTATCCTGTTTCTTGAAACAGTATGTGGATATTCCAACTAGAGGAGGGGCCACACTGGACCTTGTATTGATTAAAGAGCCTGGGCAGGTGACTGGCCTTTCAGTGGGAAAGCATTTTGGAAACAGTGATCACAACTCCTTAAGTTTTAAGATAGCTCTGAATAAGGATAAGCCAGGGCCTTGGGGGAAGGTACTAAATTGGGGGAGGGCAAATTACGTCAGTATTAGGCAGAAGCTAGGGTGTGTTAGTTGGGGGGAGCAATTATTGGGCAAGTCCACATGTGTGTGGGATTTGTTTAAAGGCCAACTGATCAGTGTTCAGGAATGGTTCAGGTGAATACCAATGTGATGTACTCATTGAGGACCTCACCGACTTCCTCTGGCTCCATGCTCCTTTGTCTTTGAGTGGACCTACCCTTTCCCTAGTTACCCTCTTGCTCCTAAAATACATGTAAATTGCCTTAGAATTCTCCTTAATCCTACTTGCAAATGACTTTTCATGGCCCTTTCTAGCCCTCCTAATTTCTTCTGTAGTTATTTTCTGTTTTCTCAAGGGTCTTGTTCAATTTCTGTTTCCTAAATCTTACATATGCTTCCTTTTTCTTTTTAACGAAACTTATAACATCTCTCATCATTCAAGTTTCTTGAATCTTGCCATCCTTATCTTTCAGCCTCATAGGAACATGTTGGTCCTGAACTCTGGTCAACAGGCTTTTAAAAGTCTCCCACATGTCATTTATGGATTTACCTTTGAACAGCTGTCCCTGATCCAATTTTTCTAATTCCTGCCTCATTTTGCTGTAGTTAGTCTTCTCCCAAGGACCAGTCTTATTCTTTTCCTTCTCTATCTTAAAACTTCTGGAATTATGATCACTGTTCCCAAACTGCTCCCCCCACTGAAGCTTCAATCACCTGGCCAGGCTCATGCCCCAAAACAAGGTCTAATATAGCCCTTTCCATAATTGGACTTTCTACATATTCCTTCAAGAATCCCTCCTTGATGCACCTAACAAATTCTACCCTGTCTAAGCCTTGGGCACCAGAGAACACCGAGTTAATATTGGGGAAATTTAAATCACCCACTCCTACAACCCTGTCATTTTTACATCTTTCCATGATCTGCTTACATGTCTGTTCCTCTGTCCTCAACAGGGCACTGGGAGGCCTATAGTATAACCTCATCGTAGTGACTGCACTTTTTTCATTCCTGAGTTCTACTCATATGGCATTGCTAGATAAGTCCTCCAAGATGTTCTCTCTTAGTAAAGTTGTGACACTCAATTCCCTGGCAGCGTTTAGGAAACTGAAATGAAACAAGGCCCTTTGGGAGTATAGAGGAAGTAGAAAAGAACTTAAACAAAAAATTAGAAGGGTTAGAAGGGACCATGAAATGTCCTTGGCAAGTAGGTTTAAGGAGAATCCCAATGCATTTTATGTGTATATTAGGAACAAGAGGGTAGCTAGGGAAAGGGTAGATCAAGGAGAAAGGAAGGAATTTATGCATGGAGCCAGAGAAATATCAGTCCTGTGGATCTTGTTTTCAGAGGAACAATACTGAGACTTCATTTGCTGTTTGATGTATACTGGTTTCAGCATGCTTCTCTGCCCATTGCTGATGTAATTTTATCAATGCTTGAATTTTCCTGCAGGTCCTGCCATAGGAATTTCATGTGATATCATACCAGTACCTGATGAAAGGCCATCCACTCTTCATCTGCACATCTGTGAGGAGGCTTCCACTTCCTCAATAAAACACCATTTCTAATGTACATAGAACATAGAACAGTACAGCACAGTACAGGCCCTTCGGCCCACGATGTTGTGCCGAACTTTCACCCTAATACTAAGATTTATCTAACCTCCACCCCTACCTTATACTATCATCCATATGCCTATCTAATAGCTGCTTAAATGCCCTGAATGAGGCCTACTCCATAGAACATAGATCAGTACAAAACACTGACACTCCAGTACTCTACCTCAGTTTTAGTGTGGACTGACTGTATTAACTAGCTTCACTCTGAATCTGCTGCCCCCTGAGCAGAGTCCAGTTTACCTTCAGCCACTTTATTTGATTTGCTACTTTCTTGAACAAAATAGTGAATAGCTCCACACCTTTCCTCAAATTTTGGGAAGGTGTGCATGAATTAAAATGTCTCTGCCAGACTTTGGGTTAGAGGTAGGTTTTACCTCATTACACCTGTCCTCTGAATCTGATGCTCCTTTTTAAACTCCAACCTTCTAAGATAGTGTTTTCTTTTGAATTTCCTCTCATTATTCTTTTCTGTTTCCTGAAATTCCACTTCTAGTTAGAAACCATAGAAATGATACAGCACATAAAAGGGCTATTCAGCCCATACTGTCCATTAAAACCCAAAGACACCCAAATGGCTTTTCTAATCCCATCTTCCTGCACATAGCCCAAAGTCCTGCAGCTCAGATCCAGGTACTTTTTGAAAGGGTCTCTGCCTCCAACACCAACTCAGCACAGAATTCCAGACACTTACTACCCTCTGCATAAAAAAAGCTTTTCCTCATATCCCCTCTAATTTTTTTTGTTCATTAATGGGATCAGGGCATCACTGGCTAGGCAGCATTTATTGCCCATCTCTAATTGCCAAGAGGGCAGCTGAGAATCAACCACACTGCTGTGGGTCTGGAGTCACATGTAGGCCAGCCCAGGTAAGGAAGGCATTTTCCTTCCCGAAAGGACATTAATGAACCTGATGTGTTTCTCCCCAACAATTGGCAATGGATTCACAGTTATCACGAGACTCTTAATTCCAGATTGTTATTGCATTCGAATTCCACCATCTGCTGCAGAGGGATTCGAACTGGGTTTCTGGATTAACAGTCCAGCGATAATACCACTCAGGCTGTGTGCCATTGTTTGCGGTGCCACAGTGGATCAGTGGTTAGCTCTGCTGCCTCGCAGTATCAGGGACCTGGGTTTGACTCCAGCCTTGGGTGCCAGTCTGTTTGGAGTTTGCACATTCTCCCCTTGTCTCTGTGCATTTCCTCTGGGTGCAGGTTGGGTGGATTGGCCATGCTAAATTGTCCATAGTGTCCAGGGGTATGCAGGCTAGGTTGATTAACAATGGGAAATAAAGTATTATAAGATGGGGGCGGTGGATCTGGGCTGGATGCTCTTTGGAGGGGTGGTGTGGATTCGATAAGCTAAAAGGCCTGCTTCCATACTGTAGGGATTCCATGATTCTACCACTAGGTCATTGCTTCCCCTATAATCATTCTGCTATTTAGCTTGAAGCTCAAGCTAAGACTTTTCCAATCTGTTTCTGTCCTTTACAATTCCAGTGCTCTTTCTCTTTCCATGTCTGCTTTTTGGAATTCTATTTCTAGTTGCTTCATTCCTTTTTCATCTTGAAGCTGCTTTAACTGTAACTCAATTATAACTAACTCCAATTACTCTTCAATCACAAGTACAGTGCTAGTACTTAGACTTCTTAGTTTCTGGTATCTGGTGCCTCAGAAATGCAGCATTCTACACTGTCTCTACATTTAAATAAAATTTTATTTTCTATTCTTTAAAAAATCATAAGAAATAGGAACAGGAGGAGGCCATTCAGCCCATTAAACCTGCTCTGCCATTCCATACAATCATGTCTAAAAGACTGAGAACAGTCTTGCTAAATTAGAAAATTAACATTTTCGTACATTAGACCGCATCTGTTAAGTTTACGTGTACTCA